CATTTAAATCCTTTAGCACAATAAACTCTGATCTGTGTTTCTAGTGAGAAGAATGGGAGCTGTGTGGGGAATGTGCAGCTCAGCGGCCCAGTGACCGTACAGTCCGAAGGGGTTTTCCTCCATAGTTTCCAGCGAAGCAGTGCAGTGCCACAGAAGGGTTTGGCCAACAGTGGTTTGGCCAGAGGGGATCGCATCGTCGTTAGCGACCAGGAAGGTCGTCTGGTTGGTTTGGCAACAGGATACCTGTGTGAGGTCAGCAGGACGTGTGTAAGTTGCACCCTGGACAGGTGAGAACGAACCCACATACACCTGCCATCCGAAATGTTTCAACCAAACAACAACTTAACGATTGTGGAAAACCTGACTTACTCTTGTTTTGTTGTTTTACAGAGACCTGTCTAAGTTCAGGGGTGTGTTGTTTCGATTGGATGGAGATGAAGGTGTGGTGGGCCTCAGCACTCACCTCACCAATCTGTCCAGACTGATGGAAAACGGTCAGGACAGGTAAATACAGTAAAATGCAATATTAAGTTATGATAGTGAACCAGCTTATTAACAGGAAGTGAACAGTACCTTCACACATTTTATGTTTGGTCTTTGTTGTGTGAAAAATAACACCTCAGACTTTCCGGAAGAATGTTGGCTGTTAAAAGGTGTTAATTTATTAACAACATCCATGTGTGCAGTGATCGTCTGAGGGAGCTGGTTGTTGACCTTCGTCCTCCAGAGTTTATTTCCAACCTCAGTTCTGTTCTGCCAAGAGAGGCCAAGGACACTGTGGCCAACATCCTTAAAGGTGACAACGCCACTCTGTCCTTCTACTCTTCCTGTCTCATTTAATTCCTTTTATCCTTTTCTGTATTTAAGTCTCTTCTACCTTCCATTGCTATGGGAGGCAATGAGGCAAATGAGCAAGAACAACTAATTTCATACTCAAATCAATAACTTTCCTTGTGCATTATTGTCTATGAAGACCTCTCACCACTTGTGTAGCAGAATGCCCATTTGTGGAATTCATTCGTGTGTGTTTGTAGGTCTCAACAAACCCCAGAAGCAGGCCATGAAGAAGGTGTTGTTATCTAAAGACTACACACTGATTGTTGGCATGCCAGGCACAGGCAAAACCACAACCATCTGCACCCTGGTAAACTCCCAACCGCGATCTATAAACTTTATTTTACCTGAAGCATAAATAAACATCATCTACTCCCTAGTAACACCAGAACTCTAACCCTCTCTCACCCACTTTTCTTCATTCCTTATCACATGTGGCACCCCTCCACCATTCTCTCTCTCCTCTTCGTCTCTTTCTCCCTTTTTCTTTCAGGTTCGCATCCTTCACGCATGTGGGTTCAGTGTGCTCCTGACCAGCTACACCCACTCTGCTGTTGACAACATCCTGCTGAAGCTAAAGCGTTTCCGGGTTGGGTTTCTGCGTCTTGGGCAGGGGCAGAAGGTGGGCTATATATGATGTTAGTGTGTGGGATACAGCTCAGTAAATAAGTCCTTGCTTCCAAATGTTGCTTTATTACAGTAAATATAAATTGTGTTGTTGTGCTGTTTGAAAAAAGAAATTAGACTAGATTATTAAAGTTATACAGGAATATGTCAAGTAAATAGTAACATTTGGGGTGGACGGAATAATTTTGCCCCTCTGACTTTTTCTGCCTCTAGGTTCATCCCGACATCCTGCCCTACACAGAGGAAAGTATAAGGAAGAAGGGAGTTCACACTCTGTCAGACTTGGAGCAGCTTTACAACAAGGAGGTAAGGAGTTAAGTTGTGGAATATTAAAATCACAACAACTTCCAACTTTAATTGATATACACTGAAATCATCATTGCTTTTATTTGTAGATAACGTGGATACAAAGAGTAAACCCCTTACCATTCAATACCGATCCTCTCTCTCTCTTCCTAGCTGGTAGTGGCAACCACCTGTATGGGCATCAAACATCCCATATTCACACGTCGCCGGTTTGATTTCTGTATCGTGGATGAAGCTTCACAGATCAGCCAGCCGATCTGTATGGGACCCCTGTTCTATGCCAAGAGATTTGTGCTGGTGGGGGATCACCAACAACTGCCACCAATAGTACAAAATCAGGAAGCTAGGTAAAGTGTGTGTGTGTGTGTAGATGGGTAATGTATGTTATTATAAAGAGTACGGTTATTGTAGTAACCTGGCGTTACGTGGGTAAAACATGAGTCAGTTTTCACATTAATTTATGGCTATGGACGAGTTCATTTAGGTAATTAATGTAAACTTAAAATAATGTCCATAAAAATATCAAATATCTTTCTTTCTTTTTTTTCTCCAGGTCACTTGGGATGGACGAAAGTCTATTTAAGCGACTGGAGCTGCATAGTGAAGCAGTGGTCCAACTCAATGTACAGTACCGGATGAATAGGTAAACCTGCACACACAGACAACACTGTATGCCTCAGTAATCTTGCCTTGTTTATTATGAGCTCTCCCTTTAGACCATTCAATTAACTGCTAAGATACATTAGCAAGTTAGTGGAGGTTACTTTTTTTTTTTTAAGATTAAGAAAACAATTCTATTCACACAACAACTACAGAACAGCATGGCAAGAGTTCAAAAGGGTTCCCACTCTATAACAAATAGTATGTGCTCTGTGTTTTCAGGCAAATAATGTCTCTCAGTAACTCTCTGATGTACGAGGGCCGGCTGGAGTGTGGATCAGAGAGGACAGCCACAGCCCTGCTCACCCTGCCCTTCCTGGCTTCTGTCCAGTCGGAGCTGAGCTCCTACTCGAAGACTGATCCCCAGCACGACCTGGCTTGGATACAGGCCACATTGTTGCCTAGCAACCCTGTTTGCTTCCTCGATTGCTCAATGGTTGGTATAATATATAGAGAGCGCTTCAAGCAGTAGTTTAACTGTGTTTTGTTGAGGTAGAAATGAGTCAAGATAAAGGATGTTGATCTTTGACTGGAAATCTTAAATAGTGAATGAAGCTGTTGGATAGCTTAAGCTGTCCAATACTTCTAATGTCTAGTTATGCGACGCTGTAAAATAGTAAATCAAATGTAGCATACAAATGAGTTCTGTTACATTAGTCTAACATCCTGCTTGTCAGTTTTGAGTTACACTAAAATAGATGGGCTTTAAAAGGGTTTTACTAGACATAAAAGTCAAGGAATTGAGTCAGCTACTTCACCTGTTGAAGAAAATGATTTATGTAAAATAAGAGTGGTGCTTTTTGCCTGACATACTGTTGTGAGAAAGACAATGGAGGCGTGCTGGTCTACATCTTTTTTCTCTCTGCTGCTTTCTCTAGGTACCAGCGCTGGAGTCTGTGGAGCAGGGAGGTGTAAGCAATCACACCGAGGCTGCTCTCATACACAAGCTGCTTTCACTGCTGATAAAGGTACATCTGTTGGCACAAGTATTTATGAGTTTAATCTCCTGGTTTAGTTTTTAATACAGTGAATAAAAGGGAAGAGTAGCTTATTATTGTATTAACCTCTGCTTATTTTTCTTTCTTCAGGCGGGTTGTAAGCCTAGTGATATAGGTGTTATCGCCCCCTACAGACAGCAGTTAAAGAGTATCTCTGCTCTGCTGCAGTCCTCTGCGTTTACCGGTGTGGAGGTGAACACAGTGGACAGATACCAAGGACGCGACAAAAGTCTGATAGTTTTTTCTTTTGTCAAGAGCACTGCAGAGGAAGGAAACGTAAGTGTTTCTCTTCCCCATCATTTTTAACTCCTCTTTCTCCTCTCTTTTCTGCGCTTCAATCTCTACATTGATGAATTAGGAAATGAACAGGTGAGTGGGAACCTGACTTTCTCTCCTGCTTATCCATTCATAGTTAGGAGAGCTGTTGAAGGACTGGCGTCGCCTGAATGTAGCCATTACCAGGGCTAAACACAAGCTGCTGATGGTGGGCTCCGTCACAACGCTACGACGCTATGCGCCTGTGGAGAAACTACTCAACCATCTCCAGCAGGAGAACATGATATCCTTGAAACACATGCTCAAACTTGGTGCTACCACTAAACGTTTCTACATTTGCAATACAAAATCTTATCCCATTAGTATTAACAGACATTTATTGCAGAATCCGGTGTTGCTAAACAAGTTTCTTCAGGTCTGTACAGCAGAATTAAGTTTCACAGGTACAGTCTATCTTCCCAACAAATGGTGGTTGAGGACATTAGTACGAGACTGCTTGTATTTACTTTTTCAATAACAATACTTCTCGTAACATTTGTTCATGAGGTTTTTTTATTTTTTTTATCTACGTCTACAAAGTTTTTTTCCTGAACCCTTACTTCACATTATCCAGCTCCCACCAGCTGCCCACAAGGCCTTACCAAGCGTTCCCCTGTTATAGAAGACTATGAAGCCATGGTGGTGTTTCAGGTCTGATTCACCGTGGAACAGCCGCTGACTGTGGAGCACCTCAGCAAGGCAGAGATTGACTGCCAGTCTGCAAAAGCACTGAATGATATGTCTGGCTGGATCAGGGACTAGAGATGCACATTACACTAATCAACACATTAGAACTGACACTTGAAGGCACTCAAGGGGACACTGCCTCTGATCTGTACGACACTGGTTGAACATTGTATGTTTTATAATAGAATAATTTAAAATGTCTTATTATACAAAGCACTCAAAAACAGGTGCCTTTGTAGTATAGAATTTAAATATTGAAACACATGCACCATTTAGCCTCTTGTGATTAATAGATGGCCAGTTTGGGCTCTAACACTTCATATTTAAGTGAAGAGGAGTGGCAAGACCTTATAAAGTTAATCTCCAGACTGAACCTCAACAAGTTTTGTAAGCTAGAGACCCTTAGGCCACAGCTGTAATTGTTAATGTTGAACCATTTTAAATGCATCACACACCAGTTTTAAATCTATCAATAGTTAACGTCTGCTGTGAAACAAGGTACTGAGACACTGAACAAATAAAATAGTTGTAGACAATGGCGGATTATGATACTGAGCATCAAACCTCAAATAGGACTATTCATAAACTCATACTTTTGATCAAATACCTCACTGATACACTGTAACAATAGTTAGATTGACTTTTGGTACTTTCATTCAGCATTTACACACACAACCAAAAATCATTAGTAATGTGAATATAGAGTTATTTATAGTTTCATGTCACTCGGCTACAACAGCCAGATGAGCTCAAAAAATTCAGTCAACTGAATTGCAGTTTAAAGGAGGAAAAACTTGAGTACTTTAATCTGTGAATGAACTACAGCGACAGTAAACGAAATGGAAACAGTAAACTGGTATGAAAATAATTTGCTTATCTTTAAGAACAACAGTTTATCATCAGTTGACATTATACTGTCTGTAACAGCAAAAACAAGTTTTGGAGTCGGTACTCTGTGTGCGGCAGAATAGACCAACAAATCTGAAGCTATACAAAAACAAAATTATTACAAAGGAAACTACCTGGTATTATGATAACCAGTTAAAACTCTGAATTTGTAGGAAACCACAGCTTAGAAAGAACAATATATTCTGCGTACATCAGTCTACCGATGTAAACTGATTCATTTACTTTGTCAGATAACATCCAGGCCAACAGGGTAACTGTGATTCTAACTTTAATCTGTTTTACTAGTGACACAACCTCTGATTTTACGTGTTGTTTTTTTTTAGTTTACTGTTTTTAAATATTGTAACTTTTGTGTCATGTGAATAAATAATACAAATACTAACAGATTGTGAGATGTTCTTTCCATCCTGTAGCATTTTGGCATGCTTAGTGAAGTTTCAGTATCAGATTGACCAGTCTGGACAGTAGTTTGTTCTGCTTTTTATTTAAACCATCTAATTTTTTTATGAAATGGTACGAAACCTGCGTCTGCTTCTGTGTGCAGGTACATAATGACCCATCATCCCCAACCCTCTTTGCTTGCATGTGTCTGTTGCTACAGTGTGATTGTTCCCTGCAGTACAGTGACAGTCTGTCCAGCTATATTGATTCTTCCGTCGTCTCTCACTTCTAGTTCCAGCTCTCCGCCTCGTCTGGAGCACTGGTAAGCTACACAAACACACACACAGAGTTATGAGTCAGTATGGTTCAGTTTAGTGGTAATGGACTATTTGTGGTGGAAAACAACACCTGCCATCAAGTAAATAAAATATTGTTTTGTGGCTAGTAAAATTCTTTTGCACTGGTTTAGAGTTTGACAAGTTGCTGATCAAATCACATTTTTACAATGTGGTCCGACTTTTATGTTGCTTTGTGATCAATAAGTCATAAGACAGTTTACGATGTGCAATTGGTTAAATGAATTACCCAGCATTTTCTTTTTTCCTAGTTTCTTAGACCAGTAGCCTCCTAGCACAGTGTGGGCAGAACCTGTAAGGACAGGAAAGATTTTTACAGAAACCTTTCGCAAGACACAAGCTGAACATTCACCAACTTTACCCCATGAGTGCTGGATGTGTGACACTCTGTAGATTTATTTTTTTCCAGTACCTGTTTGTATGCAAATGTGTTAATCAATTATAAGAAAGTACTCTGTGTTGTAGTAGTAGTAGTCATTGTGGTTATAGTACTAATAGCAGTCTACCAGTGACGGGATCCTCAGGGATGCCGTTCCATGGAGCAAAGAATCTGGAGTAAAAGTCGTATCCCGGCTGGCAGTCTGGGGATCCTATTGGCAGATAGAAGGAAATTTTGATTCACCTTGGCTTGAAGTTTTGTCTCAACGGTGTTGCTGCTATCATCTCATATTTGTTGGCTAATAGACAAACAAATAGCTAATAAAGGGTTTAGCATGGGTGTTGTATGGAACAAACAAGTGTTACTTATTTCTTAAAAGACTCTTGACTTTGGTATCTTTAAACTTATGTTGTCCCACCCAACAAATCTTAAAGCTCCCAAACGATATCCCTCTGGCCTTGCCAAATAGGATTTCATTTTTAGTTCTGGTTACCTTTCATGGTGACGATGACTCCTCCTACTTTTCCACTCTTGTCACTGCTCTGAAGAGCAACAGGGTCAACTTTCAGACTGGTTAGCACTGACCTGGAGAAAACCCACACATGCAGCACGTAAACAGAGTCACAAACAAACCAGGCAAGGCACGAGCGATTGATTTAGCAAACCGAGTTTGACCTAGAGACAGACAGTGGTTTGAATATCTGTCTGTCTGTGGGCTTTTATGGGTTTTAAAGTGTGTTTTGATTGTTACCTGTCACAGCTGTCAGCCAGTCGAATCAGCAGTTTCTTAGTATTAGAGCTCAGATAGACTTCCTGGACTGCGTGGTTTCCAACTGCAGCCTGTATCACACATGCAGAAGCAGAGACACAGTTAAGTAGCAAATACAAAAGCACAAGTATGTAATCACATTTGGCACATACTATACATACAGAGGGGTTGATGTACATGTAGATTGTGAGAGAGAGTAGGTGTCTGCTCTTACTGACCTTGATGATGTCTCTGAACTCATTGGGATCCTGAGAAAAGTGGTTTTAGAAAAAAAAGCTGTTATAATAATAGCATTTTGTTGTCTTTTGAAAGTACTTTGCAATGTTTCTGAAACTTTCTTTTGGAAAATCTTGCACCTTGCAGTGATAATGTTAATCCAGCTCCAGCTGTATGTTACACATTGTAGAGTTCCTGGGTTTTCTTAATAGTGATAGACATGATACTGTTGTGGGCAATGGAAATGAAGTCTAGACTATAACAGGTAAAGAACTGAATGTGTGTGTGATTTATTGAATGTTTGTCTCCATATTTTTTAGCGCTCAGTTACACAGTGTAACTGTCAGCCAGGATTGCCTGTAACATTGACCTGATGTGTGCATCTGACCACATACTGTACCTCCGGGGTGGGTGCGTTGAGAGGGAAGTCCATGATGTACCCTTCCCCCTTCTGGGTGACAGCCAGATCTCCACTCCTGGTCTCAAACACCAGTATGGGATTCACATTTTCTAACAGATAAACACACATAATATTATTCTCACAAGCTAGCAGGAACTATGATTACTGTGGGTGTATTGGCTAACAATACCATGTCCTTTGTTTATATAGCTGCAGTGTGTTTTATATGGAAGAGCCTATGTAAGTAAGCCATTACAAAAGTATCTGTATATTTTCTGTCTTCCAATTAAGGCCAATGCATAAACTGGATTTTAACTGGAAATTAACCTTGAAATTGTGTTCATGTTTGTTTTGTATCTTACTATTATACTGGAACAGCACTGCTGCAGAGGCCAGAGTGGCATGACCACACAGATTCACTTCATTGGTTGGTGTAAACCATCGAAGGCGGAACCTTGATCCTGTAAATCACATGACATTGTCAGACAGGTGCTTTAACACACATACAACTTTAACATGTAGTCTAAATATAACTGCCATTTAAAACCACAACTATCTAAAGCAGTGAAAACAATTTAGCTAACTTTGCCCTTTAAAGAGAAGTTTATGCATACCCACAATTTCTCACATGAATCTAAAATGCAGATGTGTTAATGTGTACAAAAAGCAATTATTAGGCTGCAAGCAAAATTTATACCCAAGGCGACTGAGTTATATTTAGCCTGAGACCTACTTAAGTATAAGTGGTTGAAATGTTTCCGTTCTTAAGCTGTGTAAATGACACTAGTATTCCTCTCTGTGCAGTTGTACCATTTGTAAAACACTGAGTGACTGCACATGTGTTTGCATTGTTAACTGTGACAGCTCATTGCATTGTTCTTCCCATTCCCAACAATGCAAGTCTTAGCTGTGTGTTTAACATTGTTATCTGTCAGACTGCTGAGGATGTGTTTCTTTGGTTTGTGCACACACAAGAACATTTGATATTTAACAAATGAACACAACTGGGTGTTTTTATCTCATTCTACCCTTGTTCCTTGTCCTGTAATGATTTACATGTGTATTACGACTTTATCAAAATGACTGCGTAAGTCAGTGGTATTAATCAGTTCTGTTTGTTTCTGTCTCCAGACCTGCAGACACAACCTGCACTTTCCTCTGAAGGTAAAATTGTTTTAAAGTATATAAAGTTGTGCCCATTTAGAATTTTTTATACTACGTCAAGCCTGTTGGAAGTACATTACAATCAAATAAACTGCACATTGGACACTGAGATTGGTACACAACATATCAAATTGTTGATCTGTTGTGAAATGTAATGTGTATATTGACAATCATAAGAGGATGAGCTCTGACAAAAACTCTCAAATAAAACTTTCTAATTATGCATACTGCCAAATGTTGGCAAATTACCATCAAATAAACATTTGAAATCTTACTTTAATAAGTCCATCGGATATCGTGACTTTATGGATTGTTGGAGCCATTCTGAGGACACATTTTACATTTTTAGCTTCATTACTGTTGCTGCAAAATCACCTATTCCATCCAATACTTGAATAAGTTATGGTATACTCAATGTCACAACTTCCATTGGCCACTAGCAGGTATTTGTCTTTATTTTTGTCTTTATAGTTAGTATAGTTAGTTAGTTAGTTAGTATAGTTAGTATAGTTA